CTCAGCCTTTAGAAGCAGATGATTGGCTTTCTAGAGGGAGGGGTGGGCTAACCGCCATCTTTGGCGTGATGGGCGTTCCCAATAGAGTTGTACTGAGGATTCTTAAAGTGGCGTTTCGGCCAACACTAGTTAGAGACAAGGTGATTGATGAATAAAAATAAATACGAGGCTTTACAGAAAATGACTGAAACTGTATCGTCTCTTTGCAAAACGAACTAAGTGAATCAGAATCAGCTTTATTGCCAGGTATGTGAACATACACGAGGAATTTGACTCTGGATTGTACGTTGCTCACGATGTGCTTACTTATACAATAATACAACAATAAAATCCAACACAGTATAGAGCTTAAAAGTTTTTGTATTGTTTGTGTAAATGAAATCTATCTTTCAAGTCACTTTATAAAGCACATTTAAAAACAGCCCCTGTTGAACAGAGTGCTGTACAAAGTTATACAATTAAAACAACAAGAAGAAATTAAAGGTGCAAGCAGCGTTGGGCGGATCCTCGCACGTGTAGCGCGTCGAGGTGTGAGGCGGCTGCGTTTCACATTCTGGAGCTCTGCCGGTGCGGCTGTGAATTCGCCGCCGTCTTCGGACGCTGCACAAAGGTGTTAATCATCACTTCCTGTGTCCCCTTTGTGGCGCTACATAGCACTTGGCGCTATGACTTTAATTAAATATTGGCGTGTAGATGTGTTCGGGACGTGACTGTTATCAAGCACGTAAAGTTTGGTGCGGATGTGAGCATGTACACTGAAGTTACTTCAGGGCGAATCATTGATTTTGGACGCCACGCCACGGGCACACGGTTCCACGAAAAGTCACCGTTTGTACAACTTTTAATCGTCAATGTGTTTAGACATCACAGCAGAAATTTGAAGTCGGTCGGACTAAATCCCTAGGAGGAGTTTGTTAAAGTACGAGTGCGTAAATCACCCAAAACTGACATGATAAAATTTTAAATGGCCGACTTCCTGTTGGGTTTAGGGCATCGCTCCAAGAGGCTTTTTGGTACGTCTGGACATGATACATGTGCCACAGACATTTCATACATGTAGGTGAAACGTGCCACGGGGGCTGCTTCGTTAAAGGTCACATGACGGTCTCAGTGGTCGGGGAGGATCTAATGAAAAGTTTATTCCACAGCCTTGGGGCCTCTACTGAAAGTTCCACTTTCTTAGCTGTGCCAGTTTTTAGTCCATGCCCCTCGCCTGGCAACTAAACTAAAACTGAAAGAAAAATACAAACTAAAAGAAACTATCAGACCCGCTTTAAAAACAAATTAAAACTTAATGTATAAATGTAACGGTATTTGGTATTTTTGTTCTCGGGGTTATTTCCATTATTTCCATTGTCTGTTTTTAAAAAGCAGCGCTTGAATGTTTATTGGCTTCATCTATCCATCGTCAACCGCTCATCCTGCGTACAGGGTCGCGGCTGACATCGGGCGAAAGGCGGGGCTAACCCATCGCAAGGCCACACATAGACAAACAACCAGTCACACCTAAGGACAATTTAGGGTCTTTGGATGGCGGGAAGAAGCCGGAGCACCTGGAGTGTGCAAACTCCACACAGAAAGGCCAGGGCAACCCGGGGGTTTGAACCCGCTGAGAGGCCACAGTGCTATCCACTGGACCACCACGCCGCCCAACTCTTCCAGCTAGCAGCGGAGAAATATCAAATATAATTGCTCGGGCTGATGGGAAGTTTCAAAAGCAGAAAAATGTGATGAGAACATTTTTATTTGTGCTGATAGAATAAAATAATTTTCACTTCTCCTTTAGGACTTCTGTCTGCTAATTATTCAGTCTTTGTGGAGTACTGTGTGGTGTTTGTGAGTCACAGTCTAAAGTAAACCGGGAACCTTCTTTTCCTCTGAGCAGCTTCACTGGAGGAGGAGGAGGAGAGCGATGATGAAGTTCCCTGTGAGGACGTTGAGGCAGGTCTGCAGCAGCTTGCAGTGACGGGATCCAGGGAAAGGAAAATATGGTGTTTGTACAAACACACACAGCAAAGCTCTGACAGCAGTCAGCCCTGCTCGTCCTGCTCGGTTCCTCCTGAAGATGTAAATCTCTAAAACAGATATATAGTTTCATGTTTAATGTCATTTCCTAAAACAGCTGCTCGCTGTAGTTTCTATCAGACAAACAGGAGCAAATAGGGAACTATTTTCAGCGGCGGATGAATCCACATGTCAAGTGAGTATTTGGGGCGGCAGGACGATTTGAAGGTACTTATACTTTAGTATTTCCATTTGGAAGTTACTTTATACTTACTAAACATCCTTTTCACGCCGCCGCATTAATACACAATAAATCATGACGTATTTCATGGATTAAGCTGAACAGCTCCACCTTCACCAGCTGCGACATTAAAGTGATGAACACATTATTTATTTCAGGTTTATAGAGCAGAGACGATTCGCACTAATAACACATACGTAAATGTATAATGTGCCAGAATAAGCCAAAAGACTATTTGACATCTGCTGACACTGGACAGGTAGTAAAATAATAATAATAAATTATTTAGAGCTTAATCATTTTATTTAAAACGATACAAAATTATTATATATAAAACAAAACATAAAAACAAGAACACTGCATTGATGCATCAATAATGTAATATATATATATTATTACAACACTGTGGTATTACTATTACAACTGAAGTACTGAGTACTTCTTGGGGGGGGTAAACATAAAAACAAACAAAAATATAAATCGGTCTGTTTTACCTCTGCTGTCTGGCAGTTTGTTTCTAACATGTTTGTGACGGCAGCAGAGCTCTAAAGGTTACCGACCTTTTCATTGAAGAAGTTTCTTATTTCTTCTAGATGCAAATAATCAAATACTTTCAGTAAAAGAGGAACGATATGCCGTCTTTACTTGACGATTTCTGCAACATGATATCACAGTATGTGTGCTGCATTAAAAACAAGGTGTCTGAGGACACCACAAAGATTCCTTTAAACATTTTAAAACAAAAACAATCAAGAACCATTCAGCAAAACTCCTGCTGGAAGGTTTCGGCTGATTCCCCCTCTGTGGTTCAGTATACGTCAGGTACAGAGCAGGTGTGACCTGTTGAAAGAGTTCGTTATTCCCCACACAATGACACACAGTATGTCACAGGTCACGCCTGTTCTTAGAATCACTTCCTGCACTGCAACCACAAACTTTGCAGCAAAGATACCCGGGATGACACTGTCTCTGTTTTCATTTGACCACACTAGGAATTGGAGTTACGGCTCTTTGGAGGGAGACGGATGTTATGGCTCCCTAACAGCTCATCATCTGGCGCCACTTCTGCTGGTCGCTGCTTAAGTTACTTTTTTAATTTGTTGTATGTGAAGCTTTTGGAATCACCTGGATTTCTCCATAAATTGGTCATAAAATGTGACCTGATCTTCATCTAAGTCCCAACAGCCAAACACAGGCTGCTTAAACTAACACCACACAAACAGTTATAGGTTTGTATTGAACACAGAGCAGGGTGGGAAAAGTTAAGTCAACCCTTGGATTTACAGTTTACTCACAGTTCATAAAACTGCTCACACAAAATGCAAAATGTCCTTTAAAATGAAACACTGCCATGAACACATCCCAAAATGAAGCTTTTTTCAGAATAGTGAATTATTGGATATACCATTCACACAATGTGTTGTTCTAAATCTGAAGCTGGTCACATTTTATGATCCAAATTATGCAGAGGGATACTGTAATGTATCGTACATTTATTTATATAGCACTTTACAGCAACCAAGAATAAACAACACAATCAATAAATAAATCATTCAATAAAAGACAAGAAACCAGTGAGCCAGATAAGGCTGCCTAAAATCATCAGAAGAGGGAAGTTGTTGCACCACTGCTGCGTATTAAAAGCCATTCTGAATAATTAAATTTTAAACTTTTGATTTAAAATGAACAACATCTGTTATTGTGCGAATGTCTGACAACTTTGCTAATCTGCTTGTCGGATTTCACGCTGCAATCGAAATGTCACATCCAGAACTTCATATCATTAATGCCGTTAAGCAGGCAGTTCAGTGCAACACTGTCATCAGGCTTCATAGGCAGATAGAGTTGCAGGTCATCTGCATAACAATGAAATGACAGGTTGTGCTCGTCTATTATACATATATAAAGAGAACAGGATGGGGCCAAGAATTGAACCCTGGGGCGCCCCGTAATAGAGAGGAGCTGATGAGGAGGAGAAGTCACCCACTGTGACAGAGAAACTCCTATTTGTCAAACAGGAGCTAAACCCTTTAACTGCGGAGCTGCTGTCAGGTCCAACAGCACTAATACAGTAGCATCTACAGACAAACCAATATCACTGTGATCTGTCATCACTCTTTTAATGTTTTATTTCTCTAAAAGCCCTTCTAGGGACGGGTTTCTGCTAAAAACACTGTGGTGCACATTGGATTGCTTCTTTTCAGTGTATCTATGTTAGATGTATATATATATATCGCCCCCTAATAAAATAAACCATAAACAAATACTTTTTCCTGCCACTGTATTTCCACGCTCCTATTTATATTATTATTATTATTTCTGTTGTCTTTACAGTGCAGGGAAGGTTACTTTGAAAATTTAAAGTTACTATATTTAAAATGTAGTACTGGTGTAAGTGTTTCAAACTTAAAGCAAAGCAACAAAAGGAGTATTACTCAAGGTATAGCCGAGCTTTTGACAGAAAATATTCATTTTCATAAGTAACTGTAAACGACAGGTGTCTGAGCGGAGTTGTGCACCTGTTCTCAGCATGTGAAAGTGAGGACAGGTGTGCGGGGGAACCATCAGCTCGGTCAGGTCCAGAGCGTCTCTCTTCCTCACAGATGAATCATCTCTTTGTCTTTGAAACATTAGAACTCGTCTTGTTATCTTGTTTCTGGAGACTCTGCTTTGCGCAACGAGATCCGCAGCCGCTGCACACACACACACACACGCACGCACGCACGCACGCGCACGCACGGGGTCCTGCCTTTGCGGAAGCCAGCGCAGTCGAGGCGGCGCTAAATTAAATTAGCATACTAACTAGCCGTGAGCCGATGTGGACGGACGGGTGAACGTAGCTTCCTGAAGAAATACACCTCTTCTAAAGTCAACACACCGCCGAGCCCGGGCTCATTTTGTAGCGAGCTTGCTGCCGTCCGCCTGCCGAGGAGATGGGGGACAAGGCGGGCACCAGGTAGGACGGCTCGGCTGCGGCGGCTAACCGCTAGTTAGCCCCCGTTTTCACGCACTTTGCTAGCGTTAGCCGAGCTGCTGCTGGCCCGGGCGGGGGAGTCCCCCCCTCCCGGAGCCTGCGCTGCAGAGATTCATATGCTTTATAAGAAAACCCACAGGCACGCAGGTCTATGATTGTGACTCCGGTTCGTGTTTAAACCTCTTAATACGGTGACCTCGTCCGCAGGAGGCGAAGTTAGCGCAGCAGGGTGGGGTTAGCTAACCGCGTCTCCAGTGGACAGGACGGTTTGTGTGCCAGACTCCTATCAGAAATCTGTCAAATTAAGCGAATGTTCCTATCTGATAATAATAAAAACACTCACTCGGTCTGTTCCATACAGAACACGCACCTGCTTTAGGACACAGTGCGTTTTCAGTGTTGTAAACAGGAATTCCCATGGTGCTCTTCAGCCAAAATACGGCCGTAGTGGGCGGTTTCGACCAGTGGACATGTCGCTTAAATGCGAGATTTTATTGAATTAAAGAGCTGCTCGGTGTATTGTGTCAAAGCCGATTTCAACTAAAGCCTGCAGATATTCATAAAACACGAAGAGTTGGATTTTAGGCTGTTTACTTCACATAGAGCATTTAAAATATAAATATTTTCGGAGGAAGTTTGGCGCGAGCGCAGGTTAGCCTGCTACTAATGCTGTTTTCTCGCGGGGTGGGGGGGGGGGGGGGGGTAACGTTATGAGGGTACCGCAGGCTCGTGCTAATTATCTGTAAATGTGTTTTGACGAGTTTGAAGGCTTCTCCTTGAAATGCAGCGAGGTGCTGGTGAACAGAGGAAACGCCTCCTGCTCGGCTTGTTCCTGACAGATGAAGATGTCTTGTTGACACACTTGAATATATTTCCTCAGGATGCCACTTCTTGTTTCTTCTTGACACTCCCTGTCTTTAATCGGGTCAGCACTGTTGTGTTTCCACTTTCTTCTTTACCCGAAGCTTCTGCAGATCCCGTTTCCATCCAGACCTCTGAGCTTAAACTAAAACTACAAAGAGGTCCAAGTCCTGAAATCAGTTTTTAAATCTGTCCTGGGGCTCGTGGTGCTGCTCAGGGAGACTTTGTGTTGTGGCGTGACAGGTGGACGCGGCAGTTTGAGCCGTGCAGGTTCAGTGTTTTGTTTGCTCTGAACTCCTGCCTGCTGGCTTTTTAATAAAGCGATGAGTGTGAAGGTTTCAGAGTCGACTCTCAGCTTTAATCTGAGCGAGAGAGACGAGAGGTTCCACAGCTTTTAAACACCCCTCTGCGTTCTGTTCGTGCCGCTTCTTTAGCAGTACATTTCTTCATCTGTGCCCCACGCTGACATTTACTTTAAAGCAAACGTTCGTCCCGGCTCGGTCTCAACCTTCCTGCCTCCCTCTCTCCCTGCGCTGAACCCGAGCCACTTCCTGTTAGGAAACAGGTGGGAAACGGCGAGGAGAGGAAGCGAGCGGGAGGAAAGACAAACATGCAAACGGGGGGCGGCTGTTGAAGAAACGATCATTATAGACGTCATTATCACACAGGAACTTTGCAGGATGCAGTGGATTACAGATTACATGTTATCAGCATATTGGTGATTATCTGTCACCCTCAGAGAACAATAGCGGCAGGTCTGTGTTAAAACGTCACCAACCAGCCGTGGGAAAGTTTCACTTCAGCTGAGTTTAGACATTTTTATGCAGATTTTCTGCCCTGTTCGGGCTCTACGCTCGGCGCCCAAACTCACCGACTAACCGGTGGGAGAGAACGACCACGTGTTCTGTCTTTCTCTCTGGCCCGTCTCTTCTTCCTCGCTATTTTCTCTCCCTCCCTCCAGTTTGCAGCCCACCCCATCAAATCACGAATAATCGATGCTTTACGGTTGAGCTAATTGCAGGTAAATCCCTGTCAACATTTGGTGATGGCGCAGTGGGTAAGACACACGCCTTTGGTGGGAGAGACCCGGGTTCGAATCCGCTGTGAGACACCAATGTGTCCTTGAGCAAGGCACTTAACCCGTCGTTGCTCCAGAGGCGTGCGACCTCTGACATGTTTGGATAAAAGGAATAAATGTATGATGATTAAAAAAGAAACGGAGTCGGATCCCTGACTCATGAGCGTTGCACAGTTTGCCCACCAGAGGGCGCTCTGCAGCTCCTCTGTTGACAACAATAGGTGCGGCTGACTTAACGTGATGCATGCTGGTTAGAAATTGTGTCCGACTTTCGCCGGCGCTGCAGAGCGTCACCATGTCACCTCTTTTCTCCGGCTGCACCAGCTTGGAGCCGCACTAATTCTGCGAGATCTGGTCTGAGCGCAGTAAGCTCACGCAGGTAGAATGTGTTTGACGGCGCCGTTCTTATTCCCCGCCCCTGCAGTCACCCGCAGCTCACGTTAAACTATCAAGTCTATGAAAGTCAGCCGCCGTCATCTGGAACGCACCTGTTGCAAAACAAAACAAAACAATCAGCTGGACAAAAACACGGCTTCAAATAAATGCTAGCATGTGTGCTATTTTGAAAACGGCTCGGGGAAGGTCCAGGTACTTTCACGTGCGGTTGGCCGCCGCCATTTTGTTAACTGATTATTAATTCAAGTTATTCCTGTTTATAGTTCCAGCATCTCTATTTGGAGATGTGCTGCTTTTTAGTTTTTAAATTGAAGCTGAGTCTTTATTGTTTTTGTCAGTCTGATGACGTCGACTTAGAAAACCGCGATGTGTTTGTTGTTTGTTGGACAAACCGGCGTCTGCAGGTCCTCGTTAGCAGCCCGTGGACGTCCAGAGGGAGTGGGAGGTTAGAGACGCAGCGAACGGCGATTATAGAGCAATTAACAACATTACAGTGACGAGCGCAGTGGAGCAAACGACACGCTGGATGCTGTTTTCCTCCTCTGTTCACGGTTACCACCGTTTTATTAACAGAATCTGAATCAGCTGTTTTGCCGTGTAGGTTCTGGCATATCAGGATTTTGCTTTGGTGCCTAACGACAAACACAGTAGGAAGAAAATATTGGAGATAAAGCTGCAGCTCTGAACAGTGCAGCTGTTTAAATCCCAGGATTATAAAAGGAACAAAAGCAAATTTTATTGCTTTAAATGGCAGCATTTACATTTACAGTAGAGGTTTGTTTGTTTTGAGGTAAAAGAGAGGAAGCAGCAGTACTACAGTGTGTGTGGTACTGTCTGTACTTCTACACGCTCTCTGTAGTATATTTTTATGTCTCTGATTTGTGTTGACTGCTCAGGTCTGTGGTTTAGATTCAGGGTTCAAGCTGGGTTCAGGTTCATGTCGCACCTGCCAGCCGTGTGCTTCCTCCTCTTCCTGAACGTGTGTCTCGCATCGAAGAAAATCCGCCTCGTAGCAAAGACTCCACGTTACCGGCTGCTCGCAGATTTCACCTGTAAAACAGACTTTACATAGAGGCTTCACCTCGAGCTGCTGCTGCTGAACGTCTGAAGTCTTTTTGACGCTTGCAGCACTTGAACAGAGGACATTTATACCTTGTTTGGTGTCCAGGTGTGTTGTTTTCGCATCAGTAATGTTTTCTTTTCATTGATCCCGATCACGTTGGATTCATCGATTCTAAAACCTGAAACCACAACACAAGTCCACGGTCTGCCACCCCGGGCTGTTCGCTCTCATCAAGACTGTGGCGGCGGTGGCGGCGGAGCGGTGTATATTGTATTGACAGTAGGTCGTTGTAGGTCCACCTCGGTTTAGTGTTTACTTTCTTGAATCTGCTCCTCTCTCTCCTCCCCACACTCGGGTAAACGCGCCGGCTGGCTCCGCCTCTTCCTGTCTCTCTCTCCCTGTATGCGTCTCTGCTGACCTTCTCCATCAGCAGCACATTTCATAAACTCACCCGTGAATCAGTTTTCGAGCTCGCGCCGCACGTGGGTCGAAACCGGAACTAACATTAGTGAGTGACGTCGGGGTGGTGATGGCGCAGTGGATATCATACACGCCTTTGGTGTGAGAGAGCCGGGTTGGAATCCGCCGAGAAACCATTGTGTCCCTGAGCAAGTTAACCCCTCGTTGCTCCAGAAGCGTGCGACCTTTGCACTTTTCCGACGGTCCCTAACTCCCACAGTAACAGGCGTTTAGTTCTCAGTGCTGCAACCTGCCTGCAAATCACCTTCAAACTGTGAACCGTCTGCCTGAATCAGCTCTCCAACAGATCCAGAACTGGGAGAAATCCAGGCTTTGACACGGAGCTAACGGCCGCCAAAACCGCCGAATGTTAAATATTAAACTCCACCCTTAGCTGCAGCTGCACTTGTCTCCATCCTCCACATGTTGGATCCCGGTCCCAACGGTACTGCGGGACGATGAGTCCCGTCCGTATGCTGTGTTTTCAGAATAGACTTGGCCCTAGTTTACACACTCGGCCCTGATTGGTCAGTTATTTCCTCATGTGGCGCCACGATCCGGTCACATGATGACAGTTTATTTCTCAAGTGATAGTGTTTTTCTTTTCATGACCTCGTTGCTTGTTTCAATTCAGCTTTATTGGCATAAATGTCAAACAACAATATTGCCAAAGCTTAAAATATAATATAAAAGAACAGATAAGTTAAATAAAACAGTAAAAGTGCGTTTAAAAATATTAAAAATAAATAAAACAGTAAGTGTGTGTGTGTGTGTGCCGTAGGGTATGGGACACAGTAGCATGTAGAAGTAATTATATGTTTAGGATCAATAAAGAAACATTATATTAATAAACAAAAAAACTAAAATTATTTATGGTTCATGGGTTCCTTTTTCCAAGGAACAATTACTAAAATAACAGTGAAAATAATAATAATTTGAACATTTTACACTATTATTTAATGTATTAATCAGTCCAGTCTGAGTTTCCACTGGTTGTCCTCAGTTTGTGGCATGAGATGCATTTTGCTGCCTTGATTTGACAAAGTTTCTCTTGCAGACGGAGATGATCAGTCAATAATATTTTTTACCTCTTTTAAAATAGTGTCACAGAAAGCTTTTACATGG